CAGACATACCGCTGTGCCACTGGGGGGGCCAAACTTCTATGAACATGACACTTCGCTCTTTAAAAACGTAATCAAATAGCCACTATAAAGACCACACGCTAGGTCTCTTATACAACGTTATTTGATTTTATGTGCGTTCTGCAAATCATATACATTCAGAATTTTTTATTAATAGCATATTAAAAGATTTTATGTAATTTTCTAAGCTCTTCAAACAAAAGGACTAAATTATTTGTTAAAGTTATTATCAAAAATGTATTATTTTGTACTCAGAAATATATATTTAACTGCATAAGTAACAAAGATATCGAAATTTAAGAATAGATTAAACAATCGCCAAGTTATTTATTTTTATATTTTAAGATGATGACGTTTCTAGCTTGCGCTCTTTGTCAGATCGTACAGCTAGCTCGAAACGTCATACTCTTAAGATCAAAATATGAAAAAAAACTTAGCGATTGTTTAATCTATTCTTCAATTGCATTATGTTGCACTCAGTTTGTTTAAACACCTTACAAAATTACAGAAAATTATTAACATGTTATATTCAGTGAAAAGCCATAAACGTATTTAAAATTAAATATTTGTTTTATAAGCATTCATAAGATACTTTTAAACGAAAGATATACATTTTTTATTAAAACTGAATCTTTCGAATATTTGCGAAACTCATACATACACAAGAGGTAAATTGAATATTTTGAGTTGATTCAATTACAATGCAGAGATAGAGCAGTTTTATCTCTATAACAATTCTACGCAACAATCAGCAGAACCTAGTTATATGATTTATATGTGGAGCATACAGCTTTCGATCAAATTAAAAAAATAACATTTGCAGTAAAAATTGTTCAGATAGTGAATAAAAACGCCAAACTAGATTATCATTCGATATTTTTATGCAAAGTAGATTTAAACAGAAGCATGAACTCTACGAGTTCATTAGCATTACAAACAAATAAAGTGATTTCGTAACCAGAAAGCTAGATTTAAGAAACATTTACTATTAAGGAATTTAAGAGAAAATGAGTTAAATTTCCTTACAAAGAAACTTTCTTACGTGGACAGACATGTAGAGAAAAGGCATTTCGTGGTAGAACATTTTTTAGAGGTTTACGTCAGCGTAAAGGCAGAACTTACGTTCCTTGGCAACGAGAGAATATTGTCCTTATTGTTATTACTGTGCCCATATTATATAAAATTTGAAGAACTCGACTATACGTGATTGTATATAGAAAATATAATTTACTTGAAAGAATTCATTTGCTTCCATTTTCTCCTATTAACTTTCGTTAAAATCTCACATATTCTGAAAAGGTGCATGTAAGTCCCCGTTTTGATTGCCTGACTTTTCCGCTGTAAATAAAATATGTTCTGGCATGACATATACGCAAGTGTGTACCATACAATTACCGTTCCATTTTCTCCAACTTTCAAGTGAATGTTCAAGCGAATCAATAACGACGGATATAAAATGGTTTAGTGCTACATTTCTCGCTTCTGACTCTGTACAACTCAGATGCTACAAGGCATTGACGGCAAAAGTCGTACTAGTTTAGTGTACTCAAACACTAAATGTAAAGCAAAATGAAAACTCCACCAATTTTGCCGTCTACTACCAGGTCAACTTCGAAACCCTGTTATTTTTGTAGTTTATTCTTGGTATCACATGGCATCTGTGAAATGCATTAAAAGCTGCAATGGCGAATATTCCTATTGAATTTTTATCCTTTAATATTTAGTTTCAGTTGTTCAGCTTGATATTTAAAATGTTTCAGTTGTTCAGCTTGATATTTAAAATGTTTCAGTTGTTCAGCTTGATATTTAAAATGTTTCAGTTGTACCTTGATATTTAAAATGTTTCATTTGTTCAGCTTGATATTTAAAATGTTTCAGTTGTAAGCTTGATATTTAAAACGTTTCAGTTGTTCAGCTTGATATTTAAAATGTTTCAGTTGTTCAGCTTGCTATTTAAAATGTTTCAGTTGCACAGCTTGATATTTAAAATGTTTCGGTTGTTAAGCAGGCTGATTTTGATATCAATCTTGTAGTTATAAATTCAAACGACTAAAATAGTTTTAAGGCATTAAATGTTTTGAACAATATTTTAATTGACATTGGATATTTAAAAACCGCGGTGGATATAATAATGTGTTATAAAGATGTTTTTTATCATTTAACTCATATGAATGAACCAAAACCTGTAATGAATATTAAGCCATGGAACAAAAGTTTTAAAAATATACTGCTAGCTTTCTTTTTAACGTTCTTTTAAAAGTAAATACGTACAGTAAGTTGTACTTTATGGCAAAACAACATTCAGAAGTAAAAAGTGGGAATTTTAAGGTATTTTGGCGATCACAATGTATATTTAAATCAATATGTTTTCTTTGTTTAAATAAACACAACAACTTTCTAATCAGTAAAGAAATACATTATAGAATTTTTAAAATAACAATAAATTATATCATCTTTCTTAAGTCTTCTCTTGTATAACCAATGTGTACAGCAAACTTTTCAAAGGTAGCCTAATCAATCTCCAGTTACAGCAATTCTGCCTTTCAATCAATCTTCATTTGTAAAGCTCTTAATAGTCGAAACCAAAATTGTAATTAGTGGCTACTGTCTCCTAAAATTACATAAATATATCAAATTCTTAAATGTATATAAACTCACCCAGTTTTCCATAGAATTTATGAAATCACTAATTTATTGTTAATTGTGGAAAATTTTATGTTACTATAACTGCAAACTGACTTTAGTAATCCAGCACAGGTAAAAAAAAATACTTTTCAAAGAAGTTGGACATATTGTCTTTGACAATACAAGTTTAACTGCTGTCGACAACTCGCACAACAGCAATAGTTTTAGTTGGGAATCTTAAGACTGAAATTTAGAAAGATTTCTGTGGCCTAAACATCGAGAGCTAAGCTACAACCTGTCACTCTGGATATGCTCTATATCTACAACCTGTCACTCTGGATATGCTCTATATTTACAACCTGTCACTCTGGATGTGCTCTATATGACTTCTTAGGAAGCGGGTCTAAAATTCATTGTGTAGCTATTTTTACCTTAAATGTTATTTAGTTTTTGTATAAATAATAGACATAACTTTTTTTGGTGAAGTTCAATAGTACAACCATCTGATAAAAAAAGAGAAAAATATTTCTTATATTTTTGAATCATAATAACAGATTTCTAAGAACCATTTACATAGCTGGCGCCCACCCTTTTGTTGGTAATTTTCGCTAAACTAGCAAATATATTTATTTAAATCATTGGTTTACTATTCATAGTATTCTGAGAAGTAGTGAATTTCTGAATGTCAATATAAAAATCGCTTCGTAAATAAAAGTCCGCCACCAAACTTCATGGCATCAAAAGAGAACCTTTCATGCAAACTGTTAAATTAACTTCAAAGATAAATCTATACATTGTGGGCTCCATATCGTTCTACTGAAGAAGATCTAAAGTGAAACGTAAAAAAAGAAATAATACTTTCCACTGGAATTTGATCGTCGTACTTACAGTTGATCGTTAATCAGTCAAAAAAATAGAATAATTTCTTACCTAAATATAAACTATTACGAATGCACTAGCTCCAATAACACATTTTCACTGCTGATATATATATGTATGTATGTATTTGATAATTACTATGGTATAATTATTTAACATTTCACCGTAGATCCGCTTATCATTGAAGTTATGGTTGGGCGTCAAGTTGAGCTACCTTGTGACATTCGTAGACCTACTGGTGACGACTCGGTATCTCTTATTTTGTGGTACAAGTCTGATATAAACGCTCCGATTTTTACCGTTGACTCCAGACATGGGCCTCTGGAAAAGGCTGAACATTTTTCTTCAGATACGTTAGGGTTAAGAGCATCTTTTAACCTCGTAGTTGACCCCGCCATTTTAACCATAGACCCAGTGAAAGAAACAGATAATGGGGAGTACCGCTGTCGTGTGGACTATCGGTGGGCTCGGACGATCCATAGGGTCATCGACCTGAAAGTAATCGGTAGGTCTAAGAAAAAGTTAAACATATTTGAGTATATATATCTATATAGTAGTATAAGTTAGGTGAAATATATACAGGGGCGTAGCTGGAACGTTAATAATATGTAGCCGTGTAGAGCAAAGGTCCCTGAAGGACCTTCCGAAACGCCAAGGGTTTGCGTTCAATATGTCGCAGACAGTTTACAGGTGAACGTATGGTTACGCTGTGTATTTTTTTACACTTTTGCTTCAAAATGTTCAATATTGAATACATAGATTCTAGTGTGGTAAAATTAAGTACTGAGAAAAAAGGAAAACATGTGAAACCATCGTCTGTGTTTTTGTTTATAGGGAGCTACGCCCCTGATATATATATTGTTTGTCTTCATATGCTGATAGTACAGGCTACGTTACCTGTTATATAATTATATTTGTTTTGATTGTATATACTAGTAGAAGGTTAAGTGACATCGTGTATGCGTCTATATGCTGCTTGGAAAATAAGTGAAACCATGTTCAGTAATACTTTGTGTGTGTCTTGATGGTGCTTGAAGGTTAAGTGATCTTACGTATATTTGTATTTACGTAATATATTTCCCTTTATACAGTTGTGGTTGGATTTTCTATGCATTTTAACATTCAGCAACTTTCCATAAACATGAATCTGGGGTTTCTCACGTGTATAGATGTTGCCAATAAAGACAAGTTTTGCCTTATCACTGATCTATTGGTGTTGGTGTACTTCCAAGCTGTCCTTGGGAGGTTATCAAAGTGGAAATATGGAACTGCTGCAAACGCTGTAATTATCAGTAGAAGGAGGCGACATCAATCTCAGTTCAGTTTTGGTGGTGTTTCTTATATGATTCCTGAAAAACTAACATTGATCTGAGAGCAGTCAGCAAATGTTCTTTGGTTATTCATTAAATGTTGCTATACCAAAACACTAAAGCTCAATACTGCTCTGTTCTAACATCAAGTCCTCTGGTAGAACAGCGGTAAGTTTACGGACTTAAACGCTAAAATCCGAGGTTCATTTCCCCACGGGAGATACAGCAAATAGTCCGTGGCTTTGCTCTAAAACAAACAAACAATCTAGCATCAATAATACTTTTCCAATATTTGTCTTTGTTTAATATATTCCATCATTTGGATTTTCACGTTTCTCTCAGTTTTTGTTTTTTTTTACTTTCTTTAATCATATCACTTTGGATAGATTGAGAACTGTGAGCTAGCTGGTATTAGCTTATTCTAATTCTGAACTGTATCATGTAAGGTGTTCAAATGTCATAAAATGAGTTACCGTCACATTGTTCAATAACAAATTCTGTCATAGGTCAACAGTAGCTCTGACTGAGGCTTTTCCACAGGGGGCTTGATCGTTGCTTGTTTAGTATAGTTGCTTCTGTAGTATAGAGTTACAACGCCATAAAACCATTTGTTAAGCCATTTACAGCCAGTTGAAGTTTTGATTCAACAGCACTGCAGGAAGAGCAGTTTGGTTATTAGTAGGCAGGATCCATGTTAAGTATTTTTTCCTCGTAGATGTCCAGTCTCGCCGGTGAGAGTTCAAAGGTGGAGGGTAGCACTGTTTTATCACACATTGACCATGCTCAAATAAGTATGATCCGTAGTATGTTATTATTATATTTTTCTCTAGTCTGCTGTTATTTTCCTGATATACATCAGTGGTGAAATTGTGTTAACAAATTAGCTGGTATTACTTTAAGATGAAACTTGGACTTTTAATCAATAGCTGGTCACTTCAGTCTGAGCTAATGTTCCATTCGCTGTTAAATAAAAAGGTCAAATTTGAAAAAACTTGGATATCTACTTGTGTATCAATTATAAGAATCTGACAGAGTCCGACAAGAGCTAAGAATCATTGAGAAACTGATTGATCATGCAGCTTGGTTTTGAACTAAAGGATATCATTCACACACGCACTTATATCCAGATGACTATTGAGAACTCTGTAGTAGAGTCCGCAGTTCCAATTCAAATAGAAAGAGAAGTAATCCAACCAATGTCATCCATTGTTTTGAAAAGCAAAACTTGAATCTAGTAGTCCTAGCCAGCAAGAACCTTTAGGATACTCCCAAAGATCTAGTGGAATGCGGAACTGAGAGAGCGTGCATTGCAGAAGTAACATTGAACCAAAATGTTGGCACACCACCAGCAGGACCACAAAAATAAAGAACTAAAATATCTGTTTCCAAAGCTGAAGAATCAGAGGTTAGTTAAGAAATTATCAAGTAACTTGGCCAGGGAGTCCACCGACAAGGCTACCAACAATATAAATGGTGCAGTACCATCAACTCCAGAATAATAACTTCAACATTGAGGTGTCTGCGAACTTCCAAGGAGGCACTAATGATACCACTGATCATAGTACTAGTGGGACTGGACTTTCCACCAGTAGAGCACTGATGCTGCCTCTCTGATGCTCAGGTTTTTCTTTATATTGTGATATGGGCAATTATACTCAAAAAGGACTACTTCAGGGACGAAAGCAAAGTAAGGTTATCCAGGACTGAATCACACAGAAGGTAAACATATTTTTAAAACGCTGAAGACAGTTATTGGTGGACGGCCAATAATCCATCACTGCCTTAGAAAATCTCCTTTCAAGCATCAAGTGATCTGATGTCAAAGATCCTTACCATATATATATATATATACATTCTTTTTATATATAATTTTTATATTTGCGTTTACTTTTTGTACGTTTCATTGTAAGTTCTTTTCATAAACTACTTTGTTTTATTTGTCATTTTGTTTTGTAGTTTGTACAATTTTGTTTTAAAGTTACTGATTGCTAGGTTTCAAGATAGTAGTTTCTTTGTGTTTGTTATAAGTAAGGTTTCGTGTTGTTTGTTTTCAAATCTTTTTTTGTATTTGGATGTATTGATATGTATTTTACTGTGTGCGCATTTAAACAATACATTACAGGACACTATGTTGTATAACTATAACCATTTTCTTTTATTTTCACCATTATAAATTGATTTTGAGTTAAGCTCTAGTATGCATAGTTGATAATTTTCTGCTTATACGTTTTACCTTTGTATCATGTATTAGGTTCATTTTACTGTGTTTCGTTGTGTTCATTTTATTTCTTGTTTTGGTTTTTGCTATGACTTCTAGTTTGAGGTTCGATTATTTCATTTTACTGTGTTTTAGTTTGTATTCAATAAGCGTGTTTTTAATTACGTTAGTTTGCAGCTTTGTTATTTGAAGTTTGTGATCTAACATTTTGATTTTAACTATTTGCTCTGATTTTGTTTAATGACCAATTAGCCTGTTTCATTTCATTTATATTAATTTTAACGTAGTTGTGCATCATACTGAGTTATTGGCACAATTGACTGTTCTGGTGCAGATGATTTGTTTTTCTACTTTGGAGGTTATTTTGTTCTATTTAAATTTTGTATCTGTAATATGTGCATATTGTATGTTACGTTTATAAATTTTTTACATTACATTGAAATTTACTATTTTAAGGATTTTTTTGATTTGTTAACTTAGAATCATGTTTCAATACAATCAATATGAGCCAGAATACATCTTGGTTAATTTTGTTTTACTTCGACGAAAATCTAGAATTAAAGATGGGAGAGTTGTGGTATGCTAGTTGATCACGTATACAATTCATATGGTTTAGATTGGGTTTACTTTTCTGTTTTAAAATTCATACTTTTTCAGTAATTTCTCTAGGGATCCATTTTGGAACAAGGCCATTATATATCTTTAATAAAGGTCCCGGCGTAACCTACATACTAGCCTGATTGACTGTGTTTCCGAAGGGCTATGATTCGCGTCCCGTTGCTGCTGAAATAAAAAGAAATTACGATCTTTATTTTAGAGTCATGCGTTATAAGAGAGACCCAAGAGTTATTATTAATTGCTGTTGACTAGCTGCCATTCATTTTGTTCATTAGTTTAAAATTATAGACAATTAGTGCAGATAACCTTAGTTTAGCTTTGTTCAAATATCTCAAACAAAACAACCATAATCTCTGGTAACTATGTACATTGTTGCCTGATGAAGAGGGCGAAAGCTCGCAACTAAAAGTATTTTAATGTATAAATACATAAGTCCATGTATAATTTTACATATTAATTTATCTATGTTATGAGTCTTAAATAACAATCTCTGGTAACTGTTGCGCTGCGGTTTGTTGTCTCTATAACTCCGCTCATCTAGATAGTCTTTGTCTAATAATGATATGTTGGTTTGTTGACAACTCAAGCTAGCCTTGCAGTGTTACCTACCCAACAATAACGTGTGGAGATAGCGTTTTCGCAAACTATTCTCCCTGTAGGCGATTGGACACCTATCATAGGTGACGATGATCTTAGATAGGTTTGGTTGATTTTTCTTTAGTTCTTATTTTATCCAATCTAACTTCGATGATGCCAAGGTTGATCTGAAACATTTCAGTTTAGTTTAATTTCATCATTGACACTTCTTTCCCGTTTTGTTTTATCCTCTGATTTTTGTTTTTGACTTACCAATTAGACCTGATTTCTAAAAGTTTTCAAAATAAAGATTCTTTTGTGTACTGTAACACCGATTGTTATTTCTTCCTTTTAAAAGAGTTACTGTATTAACATTTGTTAAATAATTTATCTGTTTTGTTTTAAACTCACCTTTGAGATAATTATTTACTGATAACGAATACAGATATTAGTGTTTTTGTTTAAATACTTGTAATAAATTAAGTAAACTCCTGCGTACAGCAATATTTTTTGTTTAAATGGTGATACTAACATAAATGAAATTTATATATATCTCTGTCGACATGCTAGTAGTAAAACGAATTAAATCATATAAAAAGATGTATATTTCTGTTTGTCTGTATATCCTAGTAGTAAGTTATTTTTAAGTGACAATTTGTATAGAAATATTATTGACTTGAATTGGTTATAAATACAATAATTACTTTCAGTTTACTCTTACCCATACTACAATATTAGAAGTTTGTAATCTCTGCTGACAAGACTGAAGTTCCGTAGAACAACCTCAAGCTTGTTTCTCTAAGAGTATATTACCAACATATAAAATCTGATTTCTTTAGTTAGTATTATGATCGAAAATATTCTTTTGTTGATTCTTGATGTAATAAGAAATGTCGTGTTTTGGAATTCTGATAAACTAAGAATCATTTTTGTTATTCAAGGTAAACTTAAATTTCATCATTATATACGTATAAATACATTTACGTGTATAGACAACATATAGTAGCGATAATAATAACAGATTGAACAAGAAAACACTCGTTTTCCTGGAAAAGTTTGTAAGAATTGAAACTCTTCTTTGAAGAACATCAACAGTGTCTCTCCATACGTTATCTCCACATTTTGTTCTGTAATAATGATAAAAACAATCATTCACCTCAAAAAAGTCATCTATTAGACACCATCTAATGAGGATTAAATGTGTTCTTCATCATGAACACTGTTATTTCTGTTTGGTTAAATACAGTAAATAACGAGTATAGTTCAAACATTAACTGAATATTTTATAATTTTCAACATGACTACAGAAAAAAAATAAGACAAAGAATTTAGAATTATTGCTTTGAATAATAAAAGAAAACCCGGGACGGTAAGTTTCTAAGATACTTAATATTTCAAAGTGTGCGGTTCAAATAACATTTGAGCGTTTTTCTGCAATTGGGAGTTAAAGTTCAATAGGATGAAGCGACACAGAAAATATAATCGAAGGGGGGATTAGCATCATCCAAAATAAATTCAAATTAAATTTATTTCCAAAAATCTCCAGAAAGAAATGCATAACATCTGTAGGATCAGAATCAGCAACATTTGATATTTGGAAAAAAAAAAAAGAGAGAGAAATCTAAAAGAAAGGGTTATAGCAAAAAACAACAAAAGAAACAGCCTAATATTTCATGTGTGAATGAATGAAGCGTTTAAACTTTCCACACGATCACTAATATTTAAAGAATAAATGAAGCAATGTTTTGTGAGCTGAAGAAACAGCTTTGATTTTTTGGAAACTCGAAATTGCAGATCTTGAATAAAAAGAAACATTACAACATCCTAATTTGTCACGAAGTGCTCAGTTGACGAAGCTAATTGGCCCTGTTTTTGAAGTTCACCAAGATAATGATCTAAAACGTGCTGACATGCTGAATAAGAGGTATGTGATGGATCGGAAGGCGCAGTTAATAAGCAGGCATGAATGAACCAGCCCAACATCTTGATGCTTATTCAACTGAAAATGAGTAACACCAGTTGGAAAGTAATGTTACAAAAAAGAGGCCAGCTAATCTTCGATAATTTTGGAGGTTTAACAACCAAACTAAAATGAAATACTAGTTAATAATCCACAAAGTTGATAGTACCCATGTTTCACCAATAACATCATAATGTTAAGGCTAAAGGAGAACATGGTTGGGTTGATAGTACCCATGTTTCACCAATAACATCATAATGTTAAGACTAAAGGAGAACATGGTTGGGTTGATAGCATCCATGTTTTACCAATAACATCATAATGTTAAGACTAAAGGAGAACATGGTTGGATTGATAGCATCCATGTTTTACCAATAACATCATAATTTTAAGGCTAAAAGAGAACATGCATAGTACTGTTGTGTTCAGCTTGTAACTTTTCAAAATGAACTACTTATGTTTAATATTGTAAATACTACAAACATAACATGTAGACCAAACAAAAACACTTGTTTTACAATCTTTCTGAAAACTCAAGTGTTAATTAATTTTTGTTTAAAGTTCAAGAAAGAACTGTCGGAATGAGCAGTGTATGCACACAATATTTCAAACGTCAACATATCTGAACCAATAAACAGTATTGCTTGTACCACAGTTCTTGAAGATATAAAAGCACCACTTAATTATTAACATTTGCAAGTTTGTTGTAACTTATCAACGCATTGTCAACATTAAACTCTGTAAAGAGAACTGACATCTTCATCTTTGTTCTTAGATTTGAACGAGCAAATTTACCTGAAAAATACATATAACTTAAAATTCAGAGTTTTGTTTTTTAAATATAATGTTTCAAAGGAAAAGAAAAATACTTATAATTTTATTTTTAACGTTAAATTCTACCATAATTGAAATTTATGTAATTGTACTTGTTTGGTTTATTAGGTTTATACTATTGAAAAGAAAAATATTAAGACTTACTTTCCTATTGTAACATCTATTTCAAACCCAACGCGCCACTTTAAATGTATATAAACTAAGTACAGCCAGCTCAGTAGACGTCTGCTCTTAATAAACCCTCAAATGGTGACTCACATATGACACGAGACATTTTCCATAACTCACAAATGACTTAAGACATTTTCCCTAACTCACGAATGATTCAAGGCAGTCTTTGTATTACACGACAGAAAACTATCGCGAACTTCCATACATCACCTTAACTAGCTAGAGTAGTATCTCAACTTCTACCACTCCAATTTCTTTTTTCTTGTGTTTTAACCCTGAACCATACATTTCTTTACTTTAACACAATTTACATGCGATATGTAGAGCTGTAAATATCGTACGGTGTATGTATGTCATAATAATACGTTTACCATTAATATGTATTGTACATGAATCTAATCATCTGCAAGGAGAAATATTTAAAAACAAAATGAAATTGAATGTAAACTTATTGTCTGTTAATTAATATACAATCACCAATCATTAGGTTGTAAAACCGAAGCGAGCTTTATCAACAATAACTGTCAGTCAAAAAAGAAACTACCTTCATATAATGATTGCTCTTTCAAATAACTTGTTAAATATGTTCAAACATTACCAACGTGTTTTATTTGTTTACTATATATCTCTCTCTCGATGTCTTAATGCATTCCTGGACAATGTGATAGCATCAAAGAGAGAAAGAAACAGAAACAGAATTTTTTAATTTCGGTTTAAAAACAAAAGAATATATACTGCACATGGAATATTGTAAACCTGTCAGGGAAAGTTTGTTTTCGTACTTGAGATGCATAATTAACCTATACACACATTCTTCCAGTGCCAGTTAAGGAAATCCTGATTGTCAACCAAAGGAATCAATCGTTATCTGGGATCATTGGACCTTACAGTGAAGGCTCCGAGCTCAGTCTGGTGTGTTACGCTGTAGGCGGTAAGTTATATATCTCAGCCAATGCATTTGTAATCCCACAGCTATCCCATTAATGAGTTTTTTATGCAATATTTAATACATTAGGTAATGAAGAGCTAAGATGTAATACATAGCTTGGGAAAAGTCTTGCAATTTTGTTCATTTCCAAATACTTAAGATAAGAAAAACTTACCACTAGTCCTATAAAAATAGCTGTAAAAGAGAAGAAATCTTAGGGTCTATCTTCATACTCTAGTCACCATTTTTATTAACTGATCAATCAACACATCTATGCTAATGTTATTATGATGATATTGTGATTTTCCATACTTTCAACCTAAAACTTTGCCATAAAGTTTCCAATTTTATTTGGAGATATATAGATAGTATTATCTTTTTACATCAGTAACGATAGAAGAAGAACGAGAGGTATAGTGCGTTAATACTTCTGTCCCAGTAATTTAGTGCTGGATTTTGTACGGTAACGTACAATTTCTTTTCAAATCCTTTCTATCCATGAGAAACTTTGAAAAACCTGTCATTATGTATTTCTATAGTCTTCTTGACACAGTCCACGAGTCGTAGATAGATTGTACCATCTGTAACAAAATCTGATCTAAAATATATTAATAAAGAATAGATAAGGACTGATATAAAATCAATTATTCTATGTTTAACTAAATTCACCATCAGCGTGCTTATTGAAACGTCTAAAGTAACTTTTTTAACTTGCCTATCATTCCTATTAAGCTATTTGAATAAGATTTTATTCTATATTTTGATACTTCAATTACATTTATTCCATTTAGAATATTTCTACAAAAATTAATAAATCATAACATTATTTGCCTATTGGCTAGAACACTTGACTTGGAATCTGCGAGTCGCGGGTTCGAATCCCTTCACCAAACATGTTTGTTCTTTCGGCCGTGAAGACGTTATCATGTGACGGTCAATTCCACTTTTCATTAGTAAAGAATAGCCGAAGAGTTGGGGGAGGGTGGTGTTAATTAGCTGCCTTTCCTCTTGTATATCAGTGCTAAACACGGTTGTACCAAGTGGTTCAAGCGATGCGGCCGCATAGAGCGCTGATTCGTAGAGGGCGCAAGTTTGCATCTTTGAACAGACTTTTGGAGGACCATTTTACAGATGATAGCTTTATTGAAAATATGTGGATAAGTATATTGTTTTAGTCATTATTTAATTTATATATTGTTGCATCGGTTTCTATCGTTTGATGGGCTGTTTTGGATTATTCGGTAAAAATGATGCAAAGTTCAGTCCACTTAATGAAAGGAAAGCGTTTTATTATTTCAGCTACAACGTACAAGTTCTACGTTACATTCGCTAGTAGGCCTAACTCACGTACAAAAAAAGTTAACAACCACTTTCTTGTAAAATTTCCTTTCGTATCTACAAAAGTAACTGAAATCTGGCTGACTAACACAATTGCTAACTCGGTAATCGCTTGGCAACAGAGTAACAGCATCACTAACTAGCTAAGTTACTCATGCATTCACTGACTAACTCTCTAATCGACTCACACAGGTTTTTATCGTACAATATTTGTAGAATATTATAAAGGCAATATCGTAATGCTAATATTCCTACCGCTTTCTTGCACGTTACAACACCAAAAGTAATTTGAAACTTTACTTTTCATTAATTGTAGCTAATGTTTGCTGAAACTAACCTCGAAGCAATTATTAATATCACTTTCAGATCAAGGTGTCCTTGCTCTTTGTTAATTATCGTCTATGTACACACAATGCGGCTTGAATACTTTGTTGCATGTAGCGACATCTGTTGGATATCCTCCATGATCGATAATTAATTACACAGTATATAATAGTGCAATTGTCACTATTTAAGCTTCGATGTATTTAAATTAAGAGTTATGTTATTAAACTATCATTCCTTTAATGTAATCATGAGTCTGAAAAAAAACAATATATCAATGGGCTTATAGCGAATGAAAATAACTAACAACTGGAGTGCACTTAGTAGAGCGTATACCTCCACTTCGCAGCGTTGATCATATTCAGTTCTCAAAAAAAATACGAAAATGTGTCGTATGTTCGTTGCTATCAACGGACATGGACCATTTTTGGCAGGACAATTAGGAATAATATTCTACATATGTCCATCAAGTTTCATCAAAATCCGATGATTTTTTACTAGAGTTATAGAGCAAAATTAGTGTGAAAAATCGGTCCCCATGTTAACAGATAGGATTTTTTTTCGTGACCTCTTTGTGACCGTGTCTCTCCAAAAGCTAATCACTTCTAAGCTGGGTTATAGTCCAAATGTATACTAACTTTCGTTCAAATCCATTCAGCAGTTTTCGAGAAATTTGCTGACAAACTCACAAGCAAACACGTACACACACAGGGGTGAAAACATAACCTCCTTCGGTGGTGGAGGTAATTATAGGCAGGCAATATGAATACGTATCTAACCACAGTGATAAATTATATAATGAACAACAATTCTTAAGGTAAATATGAACGGGCATTACATTAATAAGCAGATATTTAACATTATAATCAAGAAATTATCCGCATGTTTAGTTCATATGCTTCACAGACTACAAATTAATAATTAATGATTCTTAAAGTAAATATACCACAGATGAACGGGCATTACATAATTTACCAGATAGTTAACATTATAATCAAGAAAGTCACCGCATGTTTAGTTCAGATGCTTCACAAACTACAAATTAATAAGTCGTGTATAGTCGAATGGTAATTCAACAAAATTTCGCTTCAAAATTTATTGAATAAGTGATTCTTCAAATGCAAACTTACGTGTCAAAGGCCTAATGATTAAATAGTTACAGAGCCATGTACTTACCATTCAAATATTTACTAATGCACTTCTGTCAACCACGTACAACGATTAGATTAGCTGTGCTTAAAATGTCAGTTATGGCTGAACTATCACAAGTAACAAAACACCTTATCAGTGCCTTTTTAAATATTAATGCCCTAATATTCTAGGTTGATGTTCTTTGACATTTCTTTGCAGAAATATTGACATTTGATCGAAGCCGAAATATTCTCCGTCAACAAACATCCTGATTTCCTATGTGTTTGTTTGTTTTTTGTTTTTTAAATATTTGATCCTCAATGCCATAAAATTAAAGTTATAAGCTCTTTACGAAAACATGTTAAGTTGTAAGAAAGTTGGTGAATAGTATTACCTATTTTAATATGTTTGAAACATTGTACTTAGAGTTAAAGTGATTTATGATATTACAACATTTTCATCAAAGTAATAAAATAATGTTAATCAAGCGAAAGTCAAGAGTATACGTTAGATTTGTGCAAACAGATTAAGCAGTTACTATCAACGACCTTTAATAGCAACTGCGGAACCAATGTTACAAGTTTTCCTTCTGACCAAGGATATTACGCAGACAGAACCTTCTGTAGTTACGAAATAAATAATCTTACACTTTAACTTTATTGTCAAACATCTTCAGGAAAAATCTTATAAGTAATGTTATACTTGTATTGTGTTATCAAGGGCCTTTAGTAACTATTATAGAAATAATCTTATAGTTGGACCTTATTTTCAAGAATCTTCAGTAACTGCTATATAAATAATGATACACTTGGACTGTATTATCAAGGGTTTTTAGTAAATATTATAGAAATAGTCTTACAGTTTGACTTTATTGTTTAGGTCTTCGGGAATTACCGGAAACTGAAGTTTTCAGTATTTTGATCAGGTTACAGTTAGACGTTAGTATCAAATCAATGTCTTCAGTATCCATACTCACAGAATGCTACATTTAGTCTTTATTACGAAGATCACTAATATCTGCCATAGAAAGAACGTAATATGTGAACAATATTCTCAGATAAGTATAATAGCTGCTACAGACAGACATGCACTGTTGGATTTTATTATGAACAATATTCTCAGATAACTATAACAGCTGCTACAGACAGAAATGCGCTGTTGGATTTTATTATGAAAAATATTCTCAGATAACTATAATATCTGCTACAGACAGAAATGCACTGTGGGATTTTATTATGAACAATATTCTCAGATAACTATAATAGCTGCTACAGACAGAAATGCGCTGTTGGATTTTATTATGAACAATATTCTCAGATAACTATAACAGCTGCTACAGACAGAAATGCGCTGTTGGATTTTATTATGAACAATATTTTCAGATAACTATAACAGCTGCTACAGACAGACATGCACTGTTGGATTTTTGTTATAGTTACAGTGTTTGCCGTAGACATGAAGTTAAATCTGAATTATATTATTAAGGGTTACATTACAGTAGGTGATGTAGAAAGAACGTTGAACTAGAATTTTCATTTAAAGATCAATAAAGACAAATGCTACAGTTATGCACTATTGTCATTGATCTATAGTAGGTGCTGCAGACAAAAGGCTACAGCTGTACACTATTGTTAACGGTCTATACTAGGTGGTAAGTGTTTTAGACAAAACGTCCGAATTCTACTTTATTACCAAGGGTCTGTAGTAGCTCCTGTAGACAGAATTTAGTTGAAATATTACTTCTCTTCAAAAGTACGGTTCCAATTTGAAAATAGCATCCTTCTATGTTAGCCTGTAAATGTCTGTTGATGTTTTCTAGTTTAAATAAAATTATTACCTTCTGACTGACATCATAAAATAATTTAAGTACGACACATTAGAATTTTTTTAAAAGTTGATTTTGGTTTATAAATATCTGTTAAAATAATTTTAACAAACGGAGTAGTAGCCAACTATTGAATTTGTTGTATATTTCTGAGAAGTCAGTAAAATACTTAATGATATGTAGAAATAACTCGTGATATCATAAAATTCTATATGAAAAACAGCTAAAACTTGTGATCCATTTCGTAAAAGACTCTACAACATTAAAAATTCCGGAAAAACTGTTCGTAAAATATCCCATTCCTTCACTTTCAAAACTAATTCTTGGGAATGAATTTATAGAAGGTGACTTCTATTTTCAGAGGTCTTGCCTGGACTGGTGGTTAGGGAACTCGTCTCGCATCTGCCGGATTGCGGGTTCGAATCCCATCACCAAACATTTTTGCTCTTTCAGTGGCTTGGCATGGACTGATGATTAAGGCACTCGACTCGCAATCTGTGGGTCGCGGGTTCGAATCCCGTCACCAAATACGTTTGCCCTTTCAGGAGCCTGGGATGGACTGAAGATTAGTGCACTAGACTAGCAATCTGGAGGTCGCTGGTTCGAATCCCATCACCAAAAACATTTGTCCTTTCAGCCGTAGGGGCATAATAATGTAACGGTCAATCCCACTATTTGTTGGTCAAGAATAACCCAATAGTTGGCGGCGGGTGGTGTTAGCTAGCTACATTCCCTCTAGTCTATCACTCCAAACTTAGGGACAGCTAGCGCAGATATCTCTCGAGTAGCTTTGCGCAAA